GGGGGGGACAGCTTTCTACGGAAAGAAAAAGAGAAAAAAAATCCATTCATGCACCTGGTAATAATCAGTAATTAACCAATAACAGCGATGGACAGAAGCTGGACGGAAGAAGTGTTTCTACTGTTTTACCGCACAAAAACTTTTTTTAAAAATTGACTGGGAATTTGATTTGAAAAGTTTTTGATGGATCTGTGTGCAGATAATCACTCGGTAAAAGAGAGTTTCCCTTTGAAGCTGCTGGCTTTGCCTTGAGGGGAAGTAAAGCAGGATCTGTGGCTTTTACCTGACCTCCACCTGTCCGGCCCCTCCTGCTGGGGGCGGGGCCACAGGTGGGCCAGAGACCGGAAGTTCAGGATACAGGGACTGGATCCGGTCTCAAAAGTCCAACATCCAAACAAACATGGGCTACCGGTCTGGGTTTTAAAAAAAACATGCTTGGAGCTCATCAAGAGTTATTTGTCAGCATTTTCCATCAGAATAAATTCTGAGATGCGTCTTTTTTTCCAGGTGTGTGACCGTTATTTACCTGAGGGGCCGATCTGGGATAAGTTGAATTTGAATTTTGCTCTGCATTGCGAAGCTGCCTTCAGCTCAAAGTGTAAAACATTTAGTCTCGGAGTAGAACACTCACTGCCACACATTAAAAACCATGCAGTGAAGTGGAAATTTGAGATACCTCCTGTGGAGGTATTTTCAATCCATCCTGATTATATTCAACCAATCAAATATGACCACCCTGGGGATTTTAGTAACTTTACAAAGAAGATATTTACAATGGAATCGTATTCTTTGGTGCAAATGAACTGACAAATCTATTTTGAATTTTTTTTTTTTTTTTTTTTACAAGAAACCTCCTCACATTTAAAATGCTGTCCAGGTATTTAGACCTTATGAATGTAGACGTAACAAAGATACTGGCGTGTTCCCCCACACACTGCCAGCTTCATTGACAATCATTCACGGAAGTGAAGCAGCCACTGGAACGCTCTCGGCTTGAAATACGTTTTACTTTCAGATACAGTCGACTTCCCTGCCTCCGATAAAGTAACGATGGCCGATCACTGCCCCACACACCACAGCTGTCTCCACTCAGGACCCGGGCCAGATCAGACGGTGGGAGAGCGATCTGCATATCCGGCAAACAGAGGCAGGAGGGCCGGCACTGGACTTGTTTAGGGGAGCTGACCCTTTAAATAAAAAGCCTTTTAATCTGCCAAGCGTTTCTCAAACTGAGGGTCGTGACCCCGTCGGGGGTCGGGGGAGAGGCAGACGAGGTCGTGGGAGAAATAAATCCTCATCTCGCTCTGATCAGAAAAATACATTCTGATCATTAATCTGCGTCCAATTCTGTAACCATTTCCATGACAAGGACATCAATGGCACCAGGAGACCTGCCCCCTTTTCTCATCAGGGCATCTAAAACCCACTCACTTCACAGTGAAGCACAAGAGCGTTTCTTCATCGCGTCTACAGAAACTGCGTCATTTATCAAGAAGATCACATCTTGTTAAACAGTGAGGTGGGACGATGATTCTCCTTGAGCAGGTCTCCTGTTGTAAGGGGGTCTGATGACGTGGAGGTTCCCCTCAGACTGAGCCCATCAGGTCAACATGCAAACAAGCTGGTGCAGACTTTTTTTTTTTTTTTTTTGCAGTTGCTGTTAACACGTGAACTTCACAGTGGGAGATTTGTTACTGGACACACCAGGAGGTCACCACACAGGCCAGCTCACCTCCCCTTCCCACACACACATATCTATGCAGTGAATGCTCCAGAGGAATGCTCACACACCGTCTCACCCACTGAACGTCTGGACAAACGTGAGGGAGTCGGTCGTAAAACCGGTCTTTAAAGTCAAATGAATGCTGACAACATTTGCACTCTCCCATTGAGAGTGCCTAATTAACATTTCAAGAGACTGTGGAAACAGCTGGAGGGAAGTAAATGAAATAACGGTGTGGGCAGTTGAGTCTGTTTTGGCTGGGATGGTTTTCAGTTTTCGTGTGGCCAATATATATATATATATAAAGAAGCCTGAATCTGAAAGAAAATGCCTGCTCGCTTCCTGAGTCTTCATTTTTAGAGTCATGAAAACGGCACCGCTGTTGTCGGCTAACATGCGTCTGATGAGTTCAGGTCATTTAATGAGGTTGTAAACAGATACATCCTGCGGAGAGTCCTTGGTTAGCTTGAGCCCAGTTTGCCGTGGTGGCCGTATGTCAGTGAAAAAAGCAAATCTGTGTTCAGCGTCAATCCCAGCATGCAGACTGATGTTTGCATTGATACAGAAGGGCTCCTTTTGGCTGCGTTCAGGTGTACTGGCAAATCGAGTTCTTTCAGTCTGTGTAAACGTCGTGTTCCACGCTAGTGTAAAAACCGGGTGCGGACTCAGAGCCGGGACTGTCAGGTACAGAAACCCGCAAATGTCAGCCTGATGAGTTTCTTAAACATGAAAAAAAAATGGAGCACATCTTCCGCAATTAGGTCAATGAAATAAGAGTCCCCTGCTTCCACCAGAGAAGCGTGTGGTGGTTCCACAAGTTTGAAAAACCTGAAGCCTCAGAAGTTTTGTGACTCTCATGTCCAAGATATAAAGGTGACTGGTAGGAATCTGACCAGAATTCCCAGGCTGCGCAATGCCAGCAGATTTCATGAAGGTCCTGAGCTGACAGATTCTTTTTCTGACCAAACTTGAGATCTGGAAACTTGAAAGCGTAAAAAGTAACTGTTTGCGGGAGCCAATTAAAGAGCTGGGAGAAGGTTTAGGGTTAATGTGGGTCTGTCTCGGTTCGGTCACAGTGCAGGGGTTGGGTTGTGGCGTTCCAGAACCCTTCTGGGTTAGCGTCGTCACAATCTGACGGGAGTCCCAGAGCAGCTGCGTGCACACGCTCAGATCCACGCGGGACACGCTGCGGCTATGAGGAGCTGTTCAGGAGGGGCCGAGGATACATCCCCTGGTAGTAAGACGCCTCTAGAGATTCCATGGTTCTCCCCCCCAGACCTGAGGCCCCCCCGGCGTTGTACGAAGAGTACTGCAGCGCCTCGTACGCCTTCAGGTCCAGTTTGTGCTGCTGCTCTGAGGACGACATGAGGTTGTTGATGGAGAACGGGTGGTTGAAGGAGTAGTGGGGGTCCCCTTTGATGTGCAGAGGGGACTCGTGGGCCATGGCGTGAGGGGGGAGCGACAGGGACGACATTAGCTGGGGGCCGGACACCTTCAGATCCGACACCCCGACGATACCTCCTCTCAAATCCAGGCCAGAGGGGGAGGCTCCCTGGCTGGAGGAAGGTCCAGACGAGTCCATCAGTCCCGCGGGTTTGACGGAGTCTCCGGCAGGAGATGCTCCTCGGCCCCCCCCCTGACCCCCCGTGCTCCTTCCTGCCGTCCGACTTTACCGACATCTTCTTCTCACACTTGAACCTCTTCTGACGGCGCAGGTAGCAGCCGTTTTCGAACATGTTCCCAGAGTCCGGGTGCAGGGTCCAGTACGAGCCCTTGCCCGGTTTGTCCGGCGAGCGGGACACCTTGACGAAGCAGTCGTTGAAGGACAGCGAGTGGCGGATGGAGTTCTGCCAGCGCTGCTGGTTCTGCCGGTAGTAGGGGAAGAGGTCCATGATCCACTGGTAGATCTCGCTCAGCGTCAGCATCTTGCTGGGCGCCTGCTGGATGGCCATGGTGATGAGCGAGATGTAGGAGTAGGGGGGCTTGGCGTGCGGGTAGCTGCGTCGGAAGGCCTTGTTGTCGCGGGCGCGGTTCAGCCCGCCGCCCCCGCCGTACACCATGCCGGGGCTCATGGCGGGGCTCATCCCGCCGTACGGGTTCAGGCCCATGGAGGCCTGCTGGGCCGACACCGAGCTCATACCGGTGGGACTCAGCGCCCCGCCCATGGAGCCCACGCCCCCACCCAGGGCCGACATGGCCGGCGGGGCAGAGCCCCCCATCCCCCCCGCGGGCGAGGGGCTCAGCCCGGTGGCGCTGTAGGACATGTTGAAGGAGCCTGACGTGGTTCCGCCGCTGGACATGTAGCCGGGCATGGAGCCCATACCCAGACCGGATCCCATCCCTCCGGCCGCCATCGGGGAGTAGACCTGCACACGGACCAGAGTCAGTTAGGAGTCAGGAACACCAGAACCCAGCAGAGCCCCGGAACCTCTCCAGGGCCACAAAGGTTTATGTTTTTGGCAGACACTTTTATCCAAAGCGACTTACAGAGTAGACACAATATTACATTTCTCATCACTATGACAATATAGTCTGGTCAAATCTGACTCACATTCACCACATCACAAAGAATAAAAGGCGGGCGAGGGTCCACAGAAAAGCAGCCTTAAACAGACGCCTCTGATAGAAGCAATCACACTTTTCTCCGAACCAGTTATGAGCCCCCGTCAACTGTCACCAAATAAAGAAATTGACAACAAAATAAAATTAACCCAATGAGTTAAGAACATTTCAGTCTGGACTGCAAAATCACGTGATTTAATTTTTTTTCTGCGTTACGACTGAAAATAATAATAATAATAATAATACCAATCTTAATACTAATAATGATAATAATAATGATAATAATAATGATACCAATACTAATAATGATAATAATAATGATAATAATAATGATAATAATAATGACAATCAATTTGGTTTTTGCTGCTACTGGTATTATTATCATTACTATTATCAAAGGT